ATAAAAAACATGGTATTGCTACAGAAAGAAATTCACAAGTAAAAAGATATTAATTATAAAATAGTTTATATGATATAATTCTTTAAAGAATAGACTGGAAATAAAGACAGAAAAGTTATACATGAAATATATTACTTTAGGAATTAAGGATGATTTTATTTTTGAATTTTTTCTAAATTCATAAAAAACTTGGTAATTTTTTATTTAGTAAAACAACTATATAAGGAAAAACCATTTATACTGATAGCCTTTAAAGACTATTTGATAATCTTCTTTATGTTTTTCCTTTTAACTGCTGATGCCTTTTATTTTTTTTGTGAATAAAATTTCATTATTTAACTGTACATTTGCTTTATAGAATATTGTCTGTACTATTTATTTAAAAATCCAAAGCTAGATTCCACATTTATTTGCATTTGCCTGTAATTTATGTATTTAATATGCATATGTAAATATATAAATTATAAACAATATTTTAATTTAAATAAGGCATATTTAATATACAAATTATATAGAGATATAAAATATGTAAAATACAGGAGGATGTGTATAGAGAGATAAATGGATTTTTGTTATTTTAGTTGTCCAAAATCACTGGACAAGATTATAAATTTTTTAACTTTTTAATTTTTTTTTTGATTTAAAAACACATCATTGATTTATCTGTTTGACCAGCTTTTTGTGATCCCAAAATATCTTAATAAATGTTAACCATTTATTTACTTCTACCTTTGTCGTCTAATTGTAAATATTATTTAGAGATTTTATTTTATTTATTTGAGAGAGCAAGAGAAAGAGAGTGAGAGCTGGTGGGGGGAGGGGCAGAGGAGAGAAGTAGACTCCCGGCTGGCTGATCCGGGAGCCTGATGTGAGGCTTGATCCCAGGACACTGGGCACAGGCAGATGCTTAACCAACCAGCTGAGCCACCCAGGCACCTTCTAATTTTAAATTTTGATACAGTTTCAAACATAAAAAGTTGCACTTATTGTACTTAAGAATCCTGAATACTCTCTGTCCAGATTCATTAGTTGTTTACATTTTGCCCCTTTATTATTTCTGCTCGCTCTCCATATATGTATGTGTTTATATACATGTGTATAATTACATAATTATATAATCATGATTATATATATGTGCATATATATGTACATATATATGTAATTTTCCCTGAATCATTTGAGAATAAGTTTCAAGCATTATGTTTCTTTATTTGAAGTATTTTAGTATGTATTTCCTAAGAATAAGGGCATTGTCCTACATAACCACAGAATTATGAAAATTAAGAAATGTATTATCAACAAAATACTGTTATGTAACAGTGCATCTAGGATCACATGTGCATTTGGTCATCATGCCCTCCTTTAATCTGGAACATTTTCTCAGTCCTTAAAGACTGAACTTGAACATATTTTCCAACTTTCCTCAATTTGGGTTTGCCTGATATTTCCAAATGATTGATTCAGGTTATGCCTTTTGGGCAGATATGTGTACCACAGGAGTGATGTTGTGTCCTTCTCAAGTGCACCTGAGGCACTTTACGGAGTGGAGGCACACCAAGTGTATTTGCTCCATTATTGATGACATTGTCTTTGACTATTTAGATAAGGTGATATCTTACAAGTTTCAGCATTGAAAGTTTTTATTTTCCGCATTGTAATTAATAAGTGATTTGTGAGAAGATGCTTAAGACTATGGAAATATCTTGCTCTTCATCCCACTTTCACCCATAAGTAAGTGTGGATCCACAGTGTTTTGTTGATTGAATCAGTTAACTATAATGTTTGCTTAATGGTGATTTCCTAACTCCATCAATATATCTACATTTGTTAGGTGGCATTCCAGGAAAAGGAAGAGGTTTTCCTTCTTCCTTATATACTTCATTTGTTTCTTTTATTTATATTTTCTGTAATGAATCTTAATTCTTTATGATAATTCTTTATTTTGATTTTCCAGTTGACCTAGATATGACTGGTAAGAAATTCTTGAAGCTGAAGCCTATTACCTTTTGACATATCCCATCATTTTTAAATGCCTTACTCCCCCCCCCAAAAAATGTCATCACCTTGAATTTTGTATACTTCCGCAGCCTCCCTGTGTACATGTTCTAAAATGCCTGGATAGTTTTTTCACATTTTCATTGTTTCAGTAGCTTTCTGAAAGTGAGTATTGTTTTACTCTTAGGACCTTTGCTTTCCTCTTTTCCTCACAGTTTTTCTGGACTCCTTAGATTTCTGTAATAGATATGGTGGGAGCTTGTAAGATAGCTCTGTCAAAAATCAGTGTTTAATTTTCTGTTTACAGATAATTTGACATTTTTATTATTCTCCAACTTCCAGTTATACTGAAGACCTAGGATTTGTGTATTTATGTTTTTGTTGGCTGTATATTTTTTGCAGCATGTGAGAACAGCTTCAGATTTGGGTGACTGGTATTACCACAACTATCCAGAATTCCAGGTCTATGTATTTTAAGCATTATACAAAACATATTAACATTTCAAATTATTTGCAATATGCCATGATGCAACCAGAATTTATGGATTGCAGATCTTCACCTTCAGTGGTCTGTGTTCTCTTAATCTGGTTTAATTTAGTTAAATTGAAGGTTTCTTTCTCTATTTTTACAACTATCTTATCAAATAGTACATCTGTCAGTTTAGGAAGTATGTCTCTGGAAGATGTGTTCATGGTAAATGTAAAATCATTATTTTAGATCAAGTCCCTTGATTTGTGCCAATCAATTGAGTTTGTAAATTTCTCCCTTAGCTTTAAAAATTATCAAAAATTGGGGCGCCTGGGTAGCTCAATCGATTAAGTGTCTGTCTTCAGCTCAGGTCATGATCTCAGGGTCCTGGAATCAAGCCCTGCATTGGGCTCCCTGCTTGGCAGGGAGTCTGCTTCTCCCTCACCCTCTGCCCCTCCTCCCATTCATGCTCTCTTTGGCTCTCTCTCAAATTAACAAAATCTTTTAAAAATTATCAAATATGTATTTAAAAAATGGAAATTCAAGCATGGAATTTTAAGACTTGTATATACATTAAAGCAAGATAACTAATCAATAATATCTAATTATAAGAATCCAGTGAAATGTAGTTATAAGCAATTGCTTTATCTAATGAAATAAGCTTTTTGACCATAATTAAGGAAAGTTCTTCCTCTCCAGTTTCACAGCAAAGAGGTCTGATTGTAGTTGGTACGTAGGGATCAGGAACAAAACGCTGCAGTGCTTGCAAATGGCAGAGTAGAAGGCAGCTTGCAGGAGTAGAGAACAGGCGAGTGTCCAAAACCTGCTGCATCCAGGAGGGGCAAGCATTTCTCTGTTCTCTGGAGGCAGTGAGCCCAGCCTTACAAAATCTTTGCTCTTTCAAAGAAGGTAGAAATGAGATTCTTATGGGAAATCTTCTACTTTAAAAAAATTCTTAAATGGTTTTAAAACCATGGCATGGGATAAACAAAACATGTCAGTAAGCCAGATTTGGTTATTATATCCCAGTTTGCATCCTCCACTCAGGATGCATTTTAGGGATTAGCAGGTGCTGTAGTGAGAAGAATCTGTCAGAAAAAGTTCATTCGGAGCCTAGGATCACCTCTTACTAGCTGTGTCCAACTGGGCAAATCATGTGATTAGTATTAATTTCAGTTCTCTTGCCTATGAGGGTGAATATGCTAAAATGTGAAGAAATATACAGGTTTGCTAATTGTTATAACTTTATAATTCTTTTGAAATTATACATGGACATGTATTGGTATCTTTTATTAAGCTCTAAATTTTACACTTAGAAAATGAAATTTATAAAAATATAATTTCTTAAAAATTTCTTAATTCACTTTTGATATATAACTATAAATTGCTAACTCTGTCTAGTTTCATCTTCTTTGAGAGGCTCTGTGTTGAGGATTAGTAAAATCATTCATTCTTGTGCCAGGTAGAGGCCAGTGTCATCTTGTCTTTCATACACTAGAGGAAGATAAATGAGACTTTCAGCTCAGAATACCTGATATGCTTGTTGAACTTTTGATTTGATTACATTTGGTTTTGGAGAACACAAAATTACACCTTCTGCCTTAGTAAGCTGATGTTTCTGTTTAGCACTGTAAACCAAATCTTTCTGGGCAGAGATTCTGCTCACTGAGAACTCATGTTCCAGTAAAGATGCTTGCTACTTAAGAGGATTTTTATTTGTACTTCCCATAGTGTGTTTGATCTGTCTGAAATAACACATTGTACCGTAAGGAGTTACTTTGGTTTTCATTAGGTGTGATTTGTTTTGTCTTCTTTTGAACAGCTCTTTTATGGCACACTATACCCAATAGAACAAAATCCATTTAAGTTGAAATATTTTGAGCTAATTAATTTCAAATTAATGTGCTCTTCCCAACACCTCGCCTCTAAAACAAATTAATAAAATTTGATTAAGTTTCTCCTTATAAGTGACTTTCTGACAAAAAAGAAATGGATGTTTGTGTATTTTTGAAAGTGTGCAAGTGGTATGCCTGCATTTTTCTCAGTGCATGGTTTTCAACTAGAATTGAAATGCAATTACAAAGTGAATTGGTGAAATTCTCTGGATAAATCAAGCAAAGTTCTCTTCTAACTCAGTGATCTTCATATATCAGACAAAAGTACATTTTAAAAGCTTAAAATATTTTGATAAGCACCTCAAATCTCCAACCTAAATTTACTTACAAATATCTCATATTTTTGAATTGCTTTTATGTTGTTCTGCCATGTTCTGGGAAAACCATTTCTTGCATATATTTCTGAAGCCAATTTGCAGACTCTTACCTCTTAAGAGTATCCTCTTTGACTGATATGTAGAATATTTGCATATAGTTGGAAATGTTTCTGTTCATCAGCCCATTATACCTTGCTAGATGTATAATCTATATTTTGCAAAACCTATTTTCAGTATGTTAAAGTATGTATTGTCTAAGTCTGGAGTAGTTTTTCTGTGACCTTGGCAAATTGCTTACTCTTTTGGATTTTTTTCTTTTCACAGATGCATTTTGTAGGAGTATTTTGAGGATGAATGTTTGCAAATCATTTTGAAATTGCCAAACGCCACATACAGTAAGTAATATGTATTTTTATTTTTCCACTCAATTGCAGTCATGCTGAATGAATTTGGCAGTCATATAAGAAAACATTTCTATTTATGGTTCTTGATATTTGTGAATATTGAGGCAAAATGTATATAAAAGATAAAAATTTGATGAGCTATTTGCTAGTTTGAATTAAGTTGTATAAATTCAAGATTTCTAAGGACAGATTTTACTATTGTTCTACTTATGTAACTTGCACATGATATTTCTCACTTATATTTGAGTGAGATTTTTTTTCTCTGAATCATAAATGAGAAGAGTGCAGGAAACATTAGTGTTATTAGCCAGTGCTGATATGGAGATTTAAAAAAAGAGTATTGAATTAAGAATTTATTTTTGAATTAAGAATTAAGATTTGCCAAGTATTAAGACTTTGAATCAGGCAGTTTATATGTGTTGCCTATAATTCTCCCCCACATATTTTAAGATCATTATTTTTATCCCCATTTTATAAATAAAAGAAACTGAGAGTCAAGAAGTTTTAACACCTTGTTCAATATCTATTCAAAGTGATGAATCTGGGCTTTGAACACAAGACTTTTCAGAAAATACTGCCTTTACCTATTCATGTAGACAAAGCTAAATAACTTCTCTAAGAGGCTGAATATTTAAAGAGTTTAAACATGTTCTGATACTTTCTTTGTATTACTGTTTTGTTTAAGTATTATCCTGAAATATTGTATTTTTTTCTGTATTGTCTATAATGTGATCGATTTCATTTTAAATGGTGCTTTCCAATTCCTCACTTGGACTGCTTTGAACTAGGAAGGAAGAAATGAAAATGTAGCTTCTGAAAAAAAGAGTTTGTAAATCACCTAAGTATATATTTGATTAAAAGTGTTTAGAGTTAGAGTTCTGAATTTCTCCAAGAGTTTTCTTTCATTCATTAAAGAAAACACAAATAAAATTCAGTCATGTTATTATTTTAGGAGTTTGGAGGGACCACAGAATCAGAGTCCTAGCTTCCACATGCTCAAATTCCTTATTTGATGAAATGAGATAACCAGGAGGACAATTCTAAAGTAGAATTTCCAAAAAATGTGGAAGCAGTAATGACAGCATTAATGTTTTTATGTTGCCTTCCAATATAACTTAAAAAAGGTGGCCTAGTACATGTTTAGAAATTCAGAACTCTGGATTCAGACCACCTGCCTTTGAATACTGGATTTATCACTTATTAGCTGTGTGACTGAACAAATTACTGAATGTCTCTTTAAAATGGATGTAAGATTGGGAACTACTTCATTTGTAGTGAGTTAAAACATGTAAAGTATAGCACAATTCCAGGTACATAGTAAATTGGTATTTCAATTCAAATATGTTTGTTAGTAAGCATCATAACTTCATAATCATGTCACATAAAGTACACAGCAAAAGTACTCAGTGAGTAATGTTGACTGACCTGTTCCAAAAGAAACTGAAGTTCAGCCTTCTTTATAAATGTACACATCTTTACTTCTTTGAACTTTTAGTGAAGAAACAAACCATTTAGGTAATCAGCATGTATATATACGCTATATAATATATGCACACCTATATATCCTATTGCGTTGACTGCATATCTAGGCTGAAAGTGTGTTTGTGTGTTTTGTGGAGAAAAGAGGGGGCGTTGTGAAGTGCTTACAGAGTCTGAAATGCTTATTTTGAAAGAGACAGGACAAACTTACAGATATAAAATAAATAGTTGAAATGATGGTCAATTAACTTGAGGGAATAATCTTGTCCAATGCTTTATGAAATGATTCATGGAAATTGAAGCCATATGGACAAGAAAACGGTATTTATTAAGTATTTACTCTATCGCATGCATTTTACATTCAATATCTCCGGTAATCTAAGCAATAAGATAATGAGGTAGGTGTGTTATTATCCCCATTTTTTTTTGTATGAGGAAAATGTACCATAAGAAGTTTAAATCTGTCCTTCATGGGACTGAAGCTTGAGACTGATCTAATTCTAAAGCCTTTTTTTCTTTATACTCTTAACCTGAGTGTTAAGGACTGAAATTCTGTGGTTGATCTAACTTTCTTTTATTTGCATGAAAACACTGCTCCCAAACCTCACATTATACATATGAATTCTTTAGCAAGTAAGTAGTTGATTATTGAATTTCAACCAAAATCAATTGCCTTACATTTGTAACCCGGTCCAAGCTTATTCTGCTCCTGCACAACAGGCCAGTAAGTTGAAAGAAAGAGAAGGTGCTGGGGCCAGGAAAGTGACTTTATTCAGAAAGCCAGCAAACTGAGGAGATGGCAGACTGTTGTCCCAGAGAACCATCTTGCCTCAACATGGAATTTGAGCTGCTTTTATGTTAGCAAAAGGGGGAAGTGGGATGGAGTTGTTGTCAGAAATTGACTAATGTTTGTAGAAATCCAAGGAAGGTCATGTAACTTCTTTGTCTTGGTCAGTTCATCTTTGTATATAGGTATCTGGTCATGCCATTCCTGTTAATCTTTTTTTTTTTTAAAGATTTTATTTATTTATTTATTTGACAGAGAGAGACACAGTGAGAGAGGGAACACAAGCAGGGGGAGTGGGAAAGGGAGAAGCAGGCTTCCTGCTGAGCAGGGAGCCCAATGCGGGGCTCGATCCCAGGACCCCGGGATCATGACCTGAGCCGAAGGCAGACACTTAACGATTGAGCCACCCAGGTACACCAAGATATGTTTGCTTATTTTAGAGAGAGAGTGTGAGCAGCAGAGGGGATGCATAAGGAGAGGCGGAGGGAGAGATTTTCAAGGACACTGCCCACCGAGCATGGAGCCCTTCAACGGGCTCGATCCCATGACCCTGAAATCATGACCTGAGCCAAAATCAAGAGTTGGATTTAACCGACCGAGCTATCCAGGCGCCCTGCCATTCCTGTAAATCTTAATCATAACATAATCATTTCTGTATTTCCTTATCTCCCGGGTGAAGTAGGTTTTGGGTGAAAAGTGGCTTTTGCAAATCATAGCTATAGTATGTCTATGTAGCAGGGCTAAGCAGAAGTTTCTAAGCTATAGGTTATAGCAGCAAGGGAAACAGAAGCAATATGAAGTCAGACAGGCTAAGTTTCTCCCTGTTACATATTAAGTGTTAATAGGGCCACTCAGCAGTCTGAAACAAATTGCCTTTAAAAAATATTGTTTGTGTCAAGAAAACTTAAAAAATGAAAAAGCTCCTTCCCCAAGGGCAGAGACTATAGCTTATGCTTCTCTGACTTTGAGGTGACTGACCATACCATTTTCTTGCAGTCCGCCCACCATTTCATGCAGTGCAGAGTTCAGAATGAAGAGTTCAGCTTGACTTAATTAATTATTCTCCTCCCTATTTGTCATCTTCAGGTATGTCATCATTGAGGGACATCCTTTACAACACCACTCTGGTCACACTGATACTTCCCCTTTTTGTCTCTTTGGTGATCTTCATCTTTTTTCCATTTCAGTCATCCACTGATCCCAGTCCTTTTACGTATCACTTCTTGAAACAAACTGTCAGCAATATTTTACCCGAGGGATATTTTCAAACTTCCTAGTATTTAAAATATTACTGCCCTTAAAGGGAATGGGTCACACTGTGTTCTCACACTACTGTTGGTTTTGAGAGGGAAGGACTTACAGAATGCTTCTCTTTTCATTTTGCAAATTTGGTCTCTGAAATACACAGCTGATGATTACATTTAGTGATTCTCTTTTCACTTAATTCAATAAATATTTATTGCATGCTCCTATAATATGAGGAGCACCATGCTGGTTTAGTACTAGAGCAAGTGGGAGGGAAAGACAAAAATGACTCTCAAGAAAATTGCATGTTCAATTTAAGGAAATAAGATAGGCACAGGCATAAATAAAGGATAGATTATTAGGATATGGTATCATGAGAATAGCCTAAAGTAATCAATCAATAAAGCTGTTGTAAATAATTTGAGAAATAATGAAACGATTGCATATATGTTAAAAAACAAAGCAGAAGAGATTTAAGAAAAATATAATTCCGGACTGCATTGACTCAAGATTTCATCATGGTGATCTCATTTGCAGTAGATCTTGGTGCAGGTGGAAAATGTTAACAGAGATTTCAAGGAAATGGCATACCTGAGCTTAGAGTCAAAGAGACATACTTCACATTCAATGAATGGTGAATTAATTCGTTTGACAACAGAGTAAGTTTCTTGTGTTGGGCTAAAAACAGATAACACTGGAAAATTAAGGCTGGAGGTAGGTTGTAGGAAATACTGATAATCACAGTAAGGACTTTGAATTTAATTGGTAGGCAGTTGGAAAAAAAAAACAAAGAGAATATTTTAGGAGGGCCAATCCTGTGAATAAAAAGTTTCCTCTTTGTCTGGTGGTGTCTTCACAATGGATTCCAGTTGGAAGACATGTAGACAAGGGAACAATTTTTAGGAAAATGTAGAAGTATTAGAATAAGGCATGAGGGTAAGACCCAGGGTAGTAGCGATGGGAATGGAGAGAAGGAATAGATGCAGGTAAGACTTTGAAAGAAATGGGGTCAGGGAGTAATAATCATCATCACTTGCGTGACATTTACTAGGTACTGAACTCTGTTTTAAGTGATTTATATTATTTAATTTCACATCAGACAACTCTGAGAGGTAGACACTAAAACCATCTGCATTTCACACAAGAGAAAACTGAGGGTGAGTTTAGCCAAGTAAATTGTCCCAGGTCAAATAGCTAGAAAATAGCAAAGATGAGACTTGAGCCCATTCAGTCAATCTCCAGAGTCTCTGCAGTAACCACGTACATCATTTCTGTAAAAAGTAACTGAGATTTCCAGATTGACTGAACTGGAAAATGACATTACCAATCGTCAGGGAAACATTTTTTTCAGAGTTTACCCCTTCTTCAGTTAAGTCTTTGTGTAGGGAGGAAAATCTTTGGACCTTTAGGGAGAAATTTCCCTTATGCTTCATGATGAATCTTTTGGATACATTCATTTCTATGCTGGGCAACAGGAGCA